TTGCTTGTCCAAAACCACCCAAGTCCTCAATCTCAGTTTGAATTGAGCTACGATACGGGAAGATCTTAAAACAGTAACCTGCCATGGGTTCGGCCTTCTGCTCCTTAAATTAGGTTGTGTTTTTTTATATCAGACATTGTTTACATTTTGTAGGTGGTTAAATATGATGGCTGTAGATGTGGTTCTGGCATTGAATAACGGCAGGTATTAAAAGTAAAAAGGCCATTAGTCAAATTACACTTTACACTGTTGCATTTAGAAGGTAGGTGCTTATCCTTCCTCATTTCTGATTTTTGAAAAAGTACTTTGGTTCCTTTTTTATTGCCCATTACAAAACTTGAAACAAACAAAAATGTAGTCAGTAGAAACTTTAATTCATTCAGTAGTTCTACTAAATTGTATCCAGCCCGTTAAAGTCCACTCATGACATGAAGAATGTCCAAAAATATTTTCGGAAAAGCAGATATTTAAAATATTATCATGGAATGTTTTCATCTTAGCCCAGGAGAGCAGAGAGAGAAACAGTAAAGAAGAAGCCCCATTTGCTTTTTTAGCAACCAAAGTGATATATGTATAGCTTTAGAGATGATCCATCTCTGAATGCCATAGCCAGCATTGCTTAAAATCCAGTTAAGAATGAGATAGTTTCTCAGGTTTAATTTAGCAATTCTACATAATTCTGACTTGCATATAAGTAGCTTGTGCTAGGGAGCCTTTACTGTTCTTATTGAAGAAAAATCTTGAATGAATGAAGTCAAAGTTTAAATTTCTTAGTGACAAACTCCCCAAAATAAATATAATGGATTAGGATGTGCAGGTTCAAGAACCAGCTCAGTGTATGGTTATGTTAAAAAGTTTGCAGTTAAAACTACGGTGTAGTGTACAAGTGGGAGTAGATTTTGCAGATTTGTGTGTGAGTATCATGTAAATTAGATGCTGTTTTATAATATAACATGTTCAAAACAAACAGAATGTTTGCCTGAAGAGTTTGCAACTGAAATAATTACAGGATATTTATTATTTTACCCTGTGTTTCAGTGGAGCTGGAATCATCTTTTCTGTTAAAGCAGGAGTGAGAAGCATGCAGCCCTTCAGTTAGTGGAGAGTAATTTGTCGTCCCTGACTGGTTTCTCTACAGGCAGGGGCTGTGCAGTGCTGAAATCATCCTCCCTCAAAGCAAGAGTGCAGGGTCCTTATCCTGTACTTAAAGCCTTAGAAAGCTGGGCGAAAGAACAATTCTTGATGCTTTTTACTTGTATTTTGCAGTCTTTTCATCTTGACTGATTAAAAACAGAAGGAAACAAGATATAGGTGCAATAGCACCCTCCATGCTGTTAGGAGTGTGCAGATCAATAAGCGTCCCAGTATGCAGTGGGTGATTCTGCCAATCACCCAGTTCTACCCTG